ACCTGTATAATTCCAAATACTTTTTTTCTTTAAAACTAGATGCCAACAAGTAGAGGCCAAAAGTAGAGCAACTCATTGTCAATGTGCTAGCTTCCAAAAGCTTGTTTGCAGGTCACTTAATTGGAACTTGGAATACAGTCTTCCATTGAAACAATGTTATAAATGGTGCTTCTTTTCCCAAGCCTTCCCACAAAAGCTCACAAGTAGTTTAAAAGGAAAATGAACATTAGATACTTTGAAACAAACAAAACAGGTACTCATGCAGAAAATATAAAATATATCTCCTAATCTTGCCCAATCCTACGTCTTCTCCCCAGATTTGTACGTAAATTTGCTAAGCTGTTAACTACAAATAAGTCTTTTGAGCAGGGAAACATCAAATTATATGGTTTAACCTGCATTTCCCACAATGGGAAATCATCCTACATCCTTGAAAACAAATAACTAGTACTGAACCTAAATTATGAAACCAGCATGTGAAACATTGTATTTATTATTTTTAAGCATGCTGGTTATAACCTGTTAGGACAGAAAAGCATTTTCCCCCTTTAAATGACAGCTGTGTATGTACACGCACGTGTGTGCATGTACACACACGTGTGTGTACCTACTTTTGGACAAGTGTCCATATAGGTGCTAGGAATGCACCAGAAACCTCATGGAGAAGGAAGTGTCAAGTTGCTAAAAAAAGCCACTCACAGGAGTGGGGCGGGTGTTGGGGGGTCAGCAAGGAAAGAGGTGCCATGACCTAGTCTAGGTGGTCAAGGGTGGAGTGGTTTGGGCTGAGATTTGGGCATTAACAAAACCAAAAGGAGGGGAGAGAAAACTCCGAGCTAAAGAAGGTTTCCCTGGGACACAGGGAACCTGGCAAGGCCACGGCAGGCCAGCGGAACTCAAGCAGAAAGCGCAGGGGCTGAAGTGGATAAAGCAGAACAGACAAAACCTGACAGAGCCTGGTGGAGAGTTTGTCTTTATTCTGCTTTCAGTGGGAAAATCAGAAGTGCATAAGTGCGGCTCGGCGCCTATAGCTCAACCGGCTAAGGCGCCAGCCACGTACACCCAAGGTGGCGGGTTCGAATCCCCAGCCCGGACCCGCCAAACAACAATGATGGCTGCAACCAAAAAATAGCCGGGCATTGTGGCAGGCGCCTGTGGTCCCAGCTACTTGGGAGGCAGAGGCAGGAGACTGGCTTGAGCCCAGGAGTTGGAGGTTGCTGTGAGCTGTAATGCCACGGCACTCTACCCAGGGTGACAGCTTGAGGCTCTGTCTCAAAAAAAAAAAAAGAAGTGCATAAGTGCGTCAGCAACACGTCTAGATTTGGGTTTAGAAAATAATCACTTGAGGTAGGTATTACATACCTACTCCATTTCATGCTTGAAAAAACTGAAATGCAAAGAAATTGGGTGGCCTGGCCTATGCCCACGACACAGTCTGTGCCCCAGCTGCTGCTCCAGCAAGGTCTTTTTTGGACCGCAAGGCCACACTCCTTCCGCTCTGTGTATCTGCACAGCCTCATGGGGTGGAGAAGCAGAAACAAAGGCTACAGCAGCCAGTAAGGGGAAAACTAAGAGGGACAGACAGAACTCTCTCCTCCTCTTCCCCCCAACACCCTTGTGGCCTAAACTGTAGATCAGAAGAATTTCTCCTTCCTCTCTGTCACCTTCCCCATCTGTTCTGTCCTGCCAGTGCATGGCTCCACAAATCTTCCAGTCTTCACTGGAAGAGGTGAGAAGCAGAACAAGGCCAGGAGGGGAGTGGAGGCAGGCATGAGGGTGACGCATGTGGAGCTGTCATTCAGCCCACCAGGAGCAAAGAGCAGAGGTGCAATGCAAAATGAACGGCCAAGTAAGAGCAATACCTCCAAGTGCTTATGGAACGTCTATATTGAGAGACTCAGAGGTGGAACGATCTCTGAGAAACAAAGCAAAACAGAGAACCTGGATTCTCTTCCAAACACAAATCAGGTGTCCTTCGGGAAGTCACTTCAACCATTTGACATTCAGTCTCCTAGGCCCTGGCTTCTGTCTGGATGGCAATTAAAGCAGCACCACCTCTCACTCCCTGAGCTCTGCTAATCCCAGATGTATACATAATCTTAAATTTCAAAGAAACAACTTGCAAATATTTTAATATAAAATTGCTGATTACACTAAACTTTGTACCACCTAAACGCTTTTAAGTACTAGTTTATCGGTAACCAGATGAAGGAATGGAGCATGTCTATCTGTACAATCAGAACACGATTCTTCACTGCAACAAATCTAAACTCTCGTGCGACTACGTCCATCACTTAGCTGTTTCTGGGTCTCTCTTCTTCTCAGATAAGCTGTGCCTCCCAGACTAGATACTTTCCCAGAAGGTTCCCAGTAGAATTTCCTTCCTTTGATATTTATTTCTTTGATTTCAATGTTGTTTGATTTGATTTTTAAAAATTCATTAGCATTCCCTGGAGATATTCTAGTTAAATAGGGGGAGAAAAGCAACCTGAAAATGCGCCCTGTCAAAGAGATGATAACCCACAATCAAAAAGAAATCCAGATCTGGTTCCTAAATGGGCCAAGATGTAAAAACCGTCTTCCAAGTGAGGTGTTCTGTCCTGAGGCGTTTTAATTCCTACCACACTGCTTTAGCGGTGGTAATTAGATGCAGTCATTTTCGCTCTCAAGGGTTCCTTGGTATGGGCTAATTGGCTGGTCCCATTTCCTATTCTTTATACCACATTAATTTTTTCAGATTTTGAATAGATTTCTACCAAGCTTAGGGTACAATACTAAGCCAGTACAATGAGTAATTTTTTTCAAAAAACTATGTTGCAATAATCACTACCATAAACAAGACAAAGCAGCAAGAAACCCCAGTCTGCTTTCCCAACGGAGATTTCAGAATCTTCTTTTCTCAGCTGGTTGCTGCTCTCTGCTTCCAAAGGGCAGCTCCAATATAGTGAACAAACACTTGCAAAGGACCCTGATGTGCCATCTGGCAACACTTCTTCAAGCACCTTTCACAACACTGTTGTTTAGCTATGACTGCTTAAGTAACACTTCTCAAAAGTATTATTTAAATAGACATCCTCCCTGTATGGTCCTGCTAAGATGCTACCAAAGACTCTTAGAAGTTGACAGCAAGCGGACTTACGCTCTACAAGCATTTAGTGTACTTTATGTATAATTTAGAATAAAACTTCCTAGTTTTATATATAGTAAAAATAGTTTTTAAAAAAAGCACCTCTTTGTTGGTGATCGGAATGGAAAGAAAATAGTTGGGTTGATAATCTTTTTGCCTTTTTTTCTTTATTGGATCACTCTTGATTTCTTCATTTTCTTCACTTCTCTTCAAATGTATTTGAGACACCTCAGTGACTAGAGGGAAAAAGTCAAACAACAATATGTCTAATACATTTAAAGAAAGGTAACAGAAAAAAAGAAACTAGCAATAGATAAGTAGTAATCATTCATAATTATCACTTTCAAATCGAAAGGAGAAATTGGCAAACACTTCTGTAAAGGACTTCATAGTAAATCTTACATGCTTTGCAGGTCACATGATCTCTATTGCGAGTACTCAACTCTGCTATAGACAAAAAATAAATGAGTGAGTATACCTGTGTTCCAATAAAACTTTATTTACAAATCATGTGGATGGCCAGATTTAGCCCACAGGCCAAAGTGTGATAACCCCTGATCTAAAATATATAGCTAATTACTCTTTTCTCCTCCATGCCACAATTTTTACAACTTTGGGAAAGATCATTTTCCCATCTGTCCTGCATATGTATATTTATTTGTGACTTCTAGGATACAACCGGATATAGCACTGCCACTCAAAGTTTAGTTTGTGTTCTCTGTCACCCTACAAACTATTTGTTGAAAAAAATCAAGAAAATGCTTTAGAAACTTTCATAACAATTGGGCAGAATAATTTTGTCTATTGAATTTTGATTCTTATTTTTGTTTTGTTTCTTTGAGACAGGATCTCAATTCTGTTGCCCAACTGGAGACAATGGCATCATCATAGTTCACTGCAACCTCAAACTCCTGGGCTCAAGTGAGCCTCCTACCTTAGCCTCCCAGAGTGCTAGGATTATAGGCGTGAGCCACTGTGCCAGCCACTGTTCTCTTTGAAATACAAACAGTAAGCAATTCTTTTTTTTTTTTTTTGAGGCAGAGTCTCACTTTGTTGCCCATGATAGAATGCCATGGCATCATAGCTCACAGCAACCTCTAACTCTTAGGCTCACATGATCCTCTTGCCTCAGCCTCCTGAGTAGCTGGGATTACAGGCGCCCGCCATAAGGCCCACTATTTTTAGAGATGGGGTCTCACTCAAGCTCAGGCTGAGCTTAGGCAATCCACCTGCCTTGTACTCCCAGAATGCTAGGATTAGCAGCATGAGCCACCACACCCAGTGTCAGTAAACAGTTTTAAATGAAATACCTTCAATAGTATTTTAATGCTAATTTCTAAGAAAAATAGTAGAGCATGTTTAAAATTTAAAGACTAAGAGTATGTGGGGATAGACATGCTTTCTACCCAGAACTAACATACACTTAGGAGAGCACATGCTGGTTTCTCTTCAGCCTGTATACATCTTTCACCTTTTACATACTTGTGAGATCTAGAAGAGAGGGATAAACTAAGAGCAAGGTGGCCTGGGCAATAAATCTGACTGCTCCGTGAGGAATTAAGTATGAATTAGGGCAAAATTATCTATGTGTCTATGCCTCTGTGATTACCTGTGTTTATGATATCTCTTCAAAAACAGAAAAAATGTATTTAAAATATAAGTTACCATTAGCTTCTTTTACACATGTAAGCTTGTCCTAACTTATAAATTCCATCGCTAAGGAAGAGTTTGCAGCATTCTTACCTGTTAGGAGAATTATCTGAATTTCCTCACATATAAGGCCACTGGGTTTTATTGCTTATGCAAGTTTTGAGGTTTTTTGTTTTAAGAGACGGGGGTCTCCCTCTGCAGGAGGCTATAGTGAAGTGGCATAATCATAGCTCATGGGAGCCTTGAACTCATGGTCTCAAGCAATCCTTCTGCCTCATCCTCCCTAGTAGCTGGGACTACTAATTTAGAAATGAGGTCTATGTTGCCCATACAGTCTTGAACTCCTGGCCAAAAACAATCCTCCCACCTCAGCCTCCCAAATTGCTGGGACTACAGACATGAGCCACCAGGCTTAGTTTATGCAATTTTTTAATAAAGAAAAATCAAACCAGTATGTTGTAGGGCTGCCTCCAATTTTAGATACCTAAGAAAAGGTCCTAGATTTGACTATAGAAACATGAACTAAATGTACTAACTTTAAACAGAAGCCACAAACTAAACAACACATATATTTTAAATCCTCTTCTAAATACACTTCTAGCCCACCTCCACCTACTGTTAGTATAATTGGTACTTTGGAAACAGAAACTAATTTTAATACTAATTCTCAGTCTGGAACCAGAGCGCCTGAGTTGGAATCCTGACTTTCCCAGTTGCTTGGTGTGTGATCTTAGACAAGTCCTATAAATTTTCCTTACCTCAGTTTCCCTGCTATAATTTTAGAATAATAATAGCTACCTCATAGGGTCTTTTTGAGGACTGAGTTAATATGTGAAAGCTTTTAGACTACTTCCTGGTATAAAGCAAGCACTATTATTAGCTATTATTAGATATTACTCCAAACTAAACATAATTAGGGAGATACATCTAAATCTGCTAAAGATCATTTAAGCAACTATAAACAAAAGATTAATAAAACTATCCATTATTTTTCATCATCCAGACCATTTGTGTCTTCCATAAGTGTGAAACATGAACAGTTTTTAAAAACTAAATATTGAGGCCAGCTGAAATGGCTTACGTGTGTAATCCTAGCACTCAGGGAGGTCAAGGTGGGTAGACTGCCTGAGCTCAGGAGTTCAAGACCAGCCTGAGCTAGAATGAGACCCCATCTCTAAAAATAGCCAGGCACTGTGGTGGGCACCTGTAGCCCCAGCTACTTGGGAGGCTAAGGCAAGAGAATTGCTTAAGCCTAAGAGTTTGAGGTTACTGTGAGCTATGATGCCATAGCACTCCACTAGGGCAAGAAAGTGAGACTCTTGTCTCAAAAAAAAAAATTTAATATTGAAAAATAAATTTCAAAAGCAAGACACCCATTTTTCAGGGTAATGTGACAAATCAATTCTAAATAAGTTTCCAGCATCTGTCCCCTTACATCTAAGGGTCCAAGTGAGGGCACAGAGCCTACCCCAACCAACACAGGAAGCTGGGATAGTGAGAATCAGGCAGTTATCAACCCACGCTGTGGAAAAAATAGCCCAGAAAGAAGAAGGTAGGGGCTACAGCCAGGGAAGGTAACCAGCACTGTGTTCAACTGGTAGAGGCAGCAGTAGATGGGGAAAAGGGCGCTGGCCTAAAGACCAGTTTTCCAACAAGCATTTTTAATCAAGTCATTTAATTGTTTATCTGATAACTTGAAAGTCTGACTAATACTGGGAGAAAAAGTCTCTAGGTCTGGAAATATAATGTTCAAGAGCACTGGAAATCCAAAGACTCCTGGGATCACATCAGAAGCTCCTTAAAATCTGAAAGTTCTCCCACTGGCCAAAGAAGGGACAATTTGAGCATCAAATAGAATAATAACTTCACCCATAACAATCTAAAAAAACAATTTTAAATGCCCAAGCAGGCCTTAAACTCCTATGCTTATGAGATCCTCCCACTATAGCCTCCTGCATAACTGGGATTGATTCTGACTTTATCCACACAAAAATGAAATATGTAACCAAAATGTATGTATCCCCATAAAATTTGAAAATGTTTTTTAAAGGGGAAAAAAATAATAACTTCACTGGTGTGAAGCACATCAAATGTTTAAATCCAGTGGTTCATAATGATACTAAAAAGAAAAATTAAGACCAAAAACTCCTAAGTCACATTTGGATAAGTCTAGAGAAACATTATCCTAAAAATCTGCTGATAAAGGAGAAAAAAAAAAAGAAGCATTTATTCCACTTTTCCTGACAACCAAATAGTCATAAAGGAAGTTCAAATAGTTAAGGTAAAGGTCTTTATAGAAATTTCCAGCTAATAATTGCAAAGGAATCAGTGATACACAATATGGGAATGCTTAACAAAAACAAAGAATCAACTCAAGGATCATCGATGGATGGTCCATTAGATGGTGACTGATGGTGGATTTTATAAGGGATACATTTAGGTGCTGAGTGTGGTGGCTCACACCTATAATCCTAACACTGGGAAGCCAAGGCAGGTGGACTGCTTGACCTTAGGAGTTCGAGACCAGCCTGAGCAACAGGGAGATCCTCTCTCTATCAAAACCAGAAAAACTAGTCAGAATTGTGGTGGGTACCTATAGTCCCAGCAACTTGGGAGGCTGAGGATTGCTCAAGCCTAAGAGCTTGAGGTTGCTGTGAACTTTGATGCCACAGCACTCTACCCAGGGATACCCTGAGACTCTGTCACAGAAAAAAAAAAAAAAAAAAAAAAAGATACATTTAGGGCCATATGACCTGAAGCCACTGATGGTATTAACATTATAAAAAGACAAGACAAACATTAATGCCTACTAATGTCACACTATAGGAAATTCAAAACTGTCTTTGGAGCATTTTTACCAATATTCAGAAACTTAAGAAAGCCTCTTGATCTAACCACCAGTTTACTGGAAATACTACGTATAAAAGAGAAATATGTTATATGACCAGAATATCAAAATATCTACATGATCTTGATTTCTTCAACAATACACACACACACACAAAGGGGACCTATAAAGGAAAAGAGATTGAAGTGATGTATCTATTAAATACAGTGCACACCTGCCTGTATTTAATAGAGGCAGGACCTCCCACAGAGGGAGACGTCATCTCTAAAAATAGCTGTACATTGTGGCAGACACCTGTAGTCCCAGCTACTTGAGAGGCTGAGGTAAGAGAATCGCTTGAGCCCAAGAGTTTGAGGTTGCTGTGAGCTATATCACTATGGCACTCTACCCAGGGTGGACAAAGTGAGACTTTGTCTCAAAAAATAGAACAAAATGGCTCGGCGCCTGTGGCTCAACCAGCTAGGGCGCCAGCCACGTACACCTGAGGTGGCGGGTTCGAGTCCCCAGCCTGGACCCGCCAGACAACAATGACGGCTGCAGCCAAAGAATGGCCGGGCGTTGTGGCGGGCGCCTGTGGTCCCAGCTACTTGGGAGGCGGAGGCAGGAGACTCGCTTGGGCCCAGGAGTTGGAGGTTGCTGTGAGCTGTGATGCCACGGCCCTCTACCCAGGGGGACAGCTTGAGCCTCTGTCTCAAAAAAAAAAAAAAAAAAAAAAAAAAAAAAAATAGAACAAAATAA